TTAAAGCTTAGTAAGCTATAATTAGGCCTAAGTTGTCCTGGATATTAAGTAGATTCCTGATAAAACATCATGAGAAATTTGTTGGCGTTTCATTTTGACTATAATGGTAATGTGATGATGGTGAATTTTATTATATAAAAGTGTCATTTTTGGCCATCTCGAGAGGTAACTATTTCCTCAAATTTGTACTCACCTCAGCCCCAGCCATGGTGGGGCTTAGGTGGTTGTGAAATCACGTTTTTGAAGTAGGCCTATGTAAAGTACATACTCAAAGACAATGTTTTTAGCTTTGTTTTCTATAGTGTATACACACACATTAATAAGATCTCTATGGTTGTCAAAAATCCCTGATATAAGATCATGAGAATTTCTTTTGGTGCTTCATTTTGACGAATGGTGATGTGATGATGATGAATTTTACTAAAAGTGTCATTTCTGGCCATCTAGAGGTACTATTTCCTCAAATTTTCTCATCTCAGCTCCAACCATTGTGGGGCTGGGGTGGGTGTCGACTTACAAAATGTCCTCCCCCTCCACCTTTCAAAACAGATCTGTGCTCTTCCCTGGGTATGGGCATTAAACTCCATCGAGTCGGCTCCTGATGCATGTCTAGTGACTGCTGTTTGTTTTTAGGATGTGATCTGGTTTTTGATGTCCATTTTTCGTGATTATGACTATTCTGGATAAAAAATGTTTTGAGCAGAGGTGGATTCAAGGCACCCCCTTCATTTTTTTAAGGAAAAAAAGGAAAAATAAATTCAAATTGAAGTGCGAGAGTGTAATTTCCGGCCAACTAGAGATGCCCTAATCATAAATTTTCTTGCCTCAGCCCCAACCATGGTAGGGCTGAGGTGGGTGGTTCCTCGGTCTGTGAAAGTCCCTTCCTGGTTCACCTCTCTTTCGAATTCCTGGATCTGCCACTGTTGATTTATTATATAATTATTCTTTCGCTTATTTATAATGCGTCTATTGCAATTTTCACTTTATCCTCTCAAACAGTCCTAAGAACGTTCAGAGTGCGCTACTTCACAGGGGGATTCGCCCCCTTGACCCTGCCGGGGTCATATGTAATTCGCATAACGGCTCCCCCCCCCCCTTTCAAAATCCTGGCTACGTCCCTGGTCAGCTGGATATTGCATCCTCACAAAACACAAATTAACAAAGAACGAATATATAAATTATGTTTCGAACATTTGATAAAAGTAAAGAAAAGGACACAGTGGACGTTACAGTAAACTGTACTAGAAAACATTTATTTGAGATAAGACGGTATTATATTTTCTCACGAGAAAAAGTAGAAGCATTTAAACAACGTAGTCGAAGCATAAACAGTGTTGTTTATGCCTTGGTGGCTTGGTTGTTCTAATCGAGTCATAGATTATTGCGCTTTAATTGATCATTGATAGCGGTGTCACCGACAAAGAAGTTTTCTATCGCGTTATTTCCATTGGTTAGAGTAGATCACTGGTTGTCCTTTGTCCTGTTTAAGTTTCGAGTAAACTTTAGTACGGTACATTTTCTAGTTAAATTCATCAGGAGGAAGGTACAATTAAAAGTTCGCTCATAAGAAAACGCTTGGTTGTTGGTTATTGTAGTTAAGTACCAAATTAACAATGGTAAGTAATCGAAAACCGCTTACCGAATTGAACAACAGAAAGAGATTGTTTCGTAAGAGACGGCCTGGAGGAGGTAGAAAGAAGATGACAGGAAAATTTCCAGGTATCATAGATGTGGCTCGCGATTTCGTTCAGCAAAGCAGTTTCAAGGCAGATGCCAGACGCCGAACAACCACCGGACAAAGTTGCGGAGTTTCTTTGCCGCAAATTCGTCAGAATCTGCTGGACAAATGCAATGGCTTAAGCGACCATGGCATTAGCGTCTCAAGGTGGATGAAAGCACCCCGAAAAGGAACTACAGCGTCTAAGGCTTACAGTGAAGTGCTTGATATTCGCATTCCACCAAAAAAAATTGACGTACGTAAAGAGCACATTGACGCGCATTTCTGCGCCTCTTGGGTCCGCTATAGAATCGAGATGGCGGCTCAGTTTGCTGACGAGTGCATTTTAATGTCTTGTGACAACAAGAACAAAATTAAAGTTGGCACACAAGCGGTTAGTCGTCACTTTAAAGTAACATGTTACTTTAGTTCAAACGATGAGCCAAATTATGACGATCACGATTTTCCTTATGGTGGGTACTTGATTACCCCATGTGGGTACATGTTTCTAACGCAGGAAAAAGAACCATCTCTTGTTAACGATGAACATGGCCGAGACCATATCAAAGCAGCGAGAACAGGTCCACTACACGTAATTAATTACGGACCATGGCAGAAAATGACGTGCCAGGTTCATATGAATGACCTCTACAAATTAATTTCTGAAAAATTAACTGACAGGCGGCGTTCAGTTGTGATAATATCAGACGGTGGACCTGATTGGTCATATAAAGGATACGCTGTACTAGTTTTTTATATGAGGTTATGGCGCGATCTTAATCTTGATATGTTATCAATTACATCCTATGCACCGGGTCAGTCCGCCTACAACCCCATCGAAAGAACGTGGTCAAATTTGTCAAAATGGCTTGCCGGTGTAAAACTGCCTGCTACGTTACCCGATGAAGACAAGCCACCTTGCCAGCAGAACATTTCTGAAGAAGAACGACTTCGAAAAGAAAAACAGGTAGGAAAGTGCATATTGATTTTCACTTGATAACCATATGCCTTGCATTTTAACCTATAATATTATAATAATATAATTTCCAGAATTAAAATCCATATCATAATTAAGAAGTACAATTTGCAGCAGCTACAAAGGGCCCTACCATACACAGCCGACAGTTCTGAGCGCATAGAACAAAATATTACTAAGATATGATGCTGCTCAAATAAAGGATGATGCAAAAAAAAAAAAAGATTCCCGCATCAATATTTCCCAATTTTTTAAGCAGGCTGGGGTGATAATATACAAGTTATTCTATGTGCACTAATGCAAAGCAATGCAAATATATTTTCATGGGGGCCGGGGATTTATAATGCTCTTGTAAACGGTGCGTTTATTAACGACAAAAAACTATTATATATTGAATATTGTTATTTTAGGTTTTGAAGAATGCCATGACCAGACTTGGTGAGGGGTATTGGAGTGAACGTAGTATTGCTGGACATCCTGTGACTGTTGAACAAGATGATCCTGACGAAGCATTAGATTTAATATATAATGACTACGAAGAAGTCCATACCCTATTGAGTGGACCAAAGAAGTACGTAAAAAACACACCAACACTGGAAGAACTAAAGTTTACAGTAAAGCATGTTGATCGCCGCGTTTGCGAGGTTACATTCGTTAAGTGCAGAGATAGTAGCTGTAGTCACTGCTGTAGCAGGCCAATGGCATCCAAAAGGTTTGTTTGAGATGATTCAGTCGAGGGGAGGAATGCCTCATCCAATGTTGTCCGAAACTCTAACATCGGAGGAGCATTTTAAGACATACCTCGAAGCCTGTGATTCGGCCGACAGCAATGAATGCATGCCCTCTGTGGAAACAGCTTCACTAGGACGATGCTCTATATGTCCAAGTTATACATTTTCGTCTCCAACTGACAAAATGAGGCACCGACGCTATCTTCATTAGGACATCCAAAACAAACGGC